TTCAAGGAGAGAGTGTTCCTTCAGATTCTGAGAGTTCAGGCTATTCAGAGAGAGGAACAGAGGGTGGTTCTCACCCCTTTCTTGGGGGCCTCATCAATGGAACCTTTTTTTGGTCTAAACTGGGATGCAGTTGTGGGGTATTTCACAAATCCTGGTGCTTGAGAAAATGAAAGTGCTATCCAATCCTTTGCTTATCATAGGAAGAGATAGAGTTGGGAAGGAATTTCTGGTATTCTTGTTGTATTAACCTAATGAGAACCTAGTTTTGAAACCAAGGTACCACCTTTGTACTGCCAACTTGTTGAGAAACCCCAACAGTCAACAAATATCCTGGGAGAAGGAAGCACTTCCTGGAGGATTAAGGCCAACTCTTTCATGTCTGCACTCTCAAGACAAAAGTAAGATGGAAAAAAAATCTGTTCCTTTATAAACAGAAATAATTCATGTTCCCTATAAACAGTTCGTTACACATGCAATATGTCTTAAGGAAATAAAGATAAATATTTCCCAAATGTTAATGACTGGTGCTATCTACAAATGACATTTTTATGCCATAAAAAACTGAATAACCAGCATTATCGTAAGTGATGCTTCAGATGGGGCCCACAAGAAAGATTGCTCAGTTTGCATAGAGAAAAGAGGGGCGAGAGAGTAAATATTTTATCAGAATCATCCACTGAGGGGGAGACAAAGCCTAAATAAAAATGCCCAGCTCTGGGACATTGTTGTGTCACCAGAGGAAGGGACAAGTCTGTCCTTGACTAGTGCTGGCAGCTGTTTATTCTCTGCCATCCTTAGCAGAACTCAGCTGATGGGGCCAATGAGGTGGTTTGTGTCAGAATAGGTGCATTATCAAACTGTGGGCCTCTCGCCCCATAATGTAAGGCAGAGGGAGGAGAGGGTGACCGGGGAGGCTTCCTGGGCCCACAGCTGTGGTACCTGTTAGCTTCATGAGGTTGGAGGAGAACTGCCCTGCGGTTAGGGAAAGCACACTGCTAGCCTTTACTCCGAAGTCTAGGTGAGCAAAATGACTAGTGAAAATTTGTGTCTTGTCCTTGGTCCCCTTCAGAAAGAAAAGTCCTTTGGAAGCCAACGTGGTCACAGCCGACATTTAGGAAACTCAAGCCCACCTCTGGGTGAAATAGCTGTTGGCTCTGTGCACTGCAGCTGCCACTGCATAGATATTGCTGGTAATCCCTGCATTTCTGTATTTTTCCTCTTCCTAAAATAAACAGCAGGGTAGCTTAAATGTACCAGAAGAGCTATAAGTTCACATTTCAAGGTAGGAACCCAGGTACACTCCATTAACCAATGTCCACACAATTGCTCTGTGGTGGAAGCTCATCTTGTTAACGGAAGCAGCGGCACAGCAGCCAGCATCCTTTCACAGACCTTAAGACCCTCTACAATACACGGGCCCTAAGAATCCCCTCCAGTTCCAGTCCTTCTGCTCCTGCCTTGCTGATCTGTATGGGGATGTCGGCCTCTGATTCTGAACTACAACCATGCTCAAGATCACTTACTTATGGTTTAGATCTGAAATGGCCTCCCACACCTGATGCTTTTAGATAAAGGGCTTATTATCACTGACTTGCTGTTAGGAGGTAGGGTCTGTCCTTAGAAAAGGCAGGTCCCTGTGGGCGGGCCTGAGGGGAAGGGTGTGTCCTACTTCCTGGCTCCTCCCCTCATTCTCTGCGTCCCATCCAGACTGAGGTTGCAGCTTTGGTCTGTGGGACCTTCCTCCACCCCACTTCTGCTGTAGCTGGCCCACTGGGCGAGAACGGAAACTTCGAAAATGTGAGCCACAGTAACCCTCTCCTCCTTTAAGCTGCAGTTGTCTGGCATTGCGTCTCAAAGAGGAAGAAAGTGACCAAGATACTTGGAAATCACAAGCCATCGATATTAGATAATTTAATAGAATATAACCTTTATTACATTAGCATTTATCTTACGGCAACTTGTCCTTCCTCTTGCCTGAGTTCCACTTCTGCCCTAGCAGCTGCTGTACTGACTGTGGGTAAACTGTTCAACCATGCTCTGCCTCAGTTTCTACAGCTGCAAATGGAGATAATGGGGTCCACCTCACAGAACCATTATGAAGGTTAAATTTCGTATTTGCCTTTCTCCCCCAGTGCCCTGTACCATACCTGGCTCATGGTTACAAAAAGATTATTTGTGAATTATTTTACTTAGTGTAATTTTCTATAAATTTCCCTGGGAGACTGAGCTTAAAGGTTTGTTTGTCAGGGTTTTAAGAGTAGCAGTTTCCTCGAGTGCTTTTCTTTTAATCAGTCTGAGGTGAAGATAGTGTCTATAAAGAAAAGTTGAAACCAGATAACCCTTTCTGACAACACCTGAGGAATGTTAGGCTGTCTCCTGTTTCACGGTTGGATGTGCTCTCGGAATTGCCCTCTGTGTCCCCTCTGAGATGGCTACAAGTGGATTTGAATCTCTCCCTGGAGTCATGGGCCAGGGCTCCTGAATGTTCCTTATTGTCTGGCTTTAGCCAGCAGTGGTCTCTCTCTTTCTCTCGGGCGTCCTGAGCCCTGGGTCTGATGCCCTTTACTGGACGTTCTAGTGCACGCTGAGGACATCCGTGCATTCAGATCTGTCAGTTAATTGGCAGAGGTTCACTTTGTATTTCAGCTGGCCACAGCTCCTGCTAAGGAGGGCTGTCTGTCTCTCTCTCTCACAGGGTCCATCAGTGTCGGGAAGAGGTGCAATGAACTGTCTGGTGATTGATGGGTCTAAAATTATGTTTGTCCCACAATTCTGAAAATGTCATTTCTGGAAGGGAAGGTGTTGAGCAGCCTTCTCTTGAGAGCTTTATAAATTGCATAGGTTTCATCACCTGATTGGGGTGAGGGAAGTGAGGTCTTCAGGGGGCAATGGAATAGCCTCTGGTTCCAAAACTGGAATTATTTGAATGTTACTTTGAGCACACGTTTGAAAATAATGTGTTGAAAGTATGAGAGGATATTCCATGGCGGGATGTTCTGTTCAGATAAGGGTGAGGAGCAAGCCAGAGATGCAGGTAACTGGAAAAACATTTTCTGGTTCTGAAACTGGAAGAGAAGGAGAGGGCAGTGATGAGAGGAAGGGCTCTCAGCCCAGGGCAAGCCAGTCTGCACGTTTTGCCAGGCCTTGACAATCCACAGAGCCAAAGAGCAGCAGTACTGGTTTCCTGTCATTCTCACAACAATACTGAAATTTTGGGAACTAAAGATGACGTGCATTTGTTACTATCTTAGTACATTTTCTGTTGAATATGCGAGAATGGGTTGTTTATAAAGAACAGAAACTGGTTATCTCACAGTCCTGGAGGACTGGAAAGCCCAAGGCCAAGGTGCTGGCCTGTGGAATGGGCCTTCCTGTGCCCATCAGGGCGGAAGGTGGAGAGCCTTCTCCTTCTGCAGGCTCTTCCTGGGGTGGTGTTAGTCCGATTCTGAGTGGAGCCTCCGGACCTGAACATCTCCTGAGGCCCCACTTCCCAACACTGCTGCACTGAGGATTAAGTTGCCAACCCAGGAGTTTTGGGGAACATTCAGACCATTGCCCTTACTTTATAAATTCTCTAGCTCAGAAGCCCAGTGAGTATGTGAGCTAAAATCAGCTTCTCCATTTGGCTATTTCTGCAGCACCTGAGATTTTAAAAACTCCAGGTTTCTACCCAAACTTCTTTTGTCCTCCTGCCTCAGTAAGTACCAATTCTGTTTTGGCCACTGCTCAGGTTTAACATTTTGGAGCCATCCTCTGTTCCTCTCTCTTTATAAGCCCCTTGCAGCAAATCCAACTGGCTCTACCTTCAAAATGGCATCCACGATCTGATTGTTTCCCACCATCTCTCACCTCAGTCGCGTGGTAGTGTTTATAACTGTTTTCTTCATCTTTGTCTCATGTCCCAGTTCTGTCTGTCCTCAGCACAGCCGCCAGGGTGATCCTGCTGAAACATGTGCGGGCCTGCTACTCCTCAGTTCTCTGCAGTCAGCTGTGTCATCTCATTCAGAGGAAAAGCCAGACACAATATGATGGCCTGAGAGGCGGCCCCATCTGGGTCTTCCTGAAGAGCCCCACTCATCAGCCTTCTGCCTGCCGTGGATAGGGATCATTCTGAAGGCAGATTCCACAGCAGATAGAAACGCCCAGTTCTACTGGGTGCTTTGGCCCATCTGGCCATCTCTCATCCCTGCTGTGATAGTTACAGGCCTGAATTGACACCTTTTCCTGCCTCTCTCAGAAAGTTGATAGGAATAGATTTCTCTACAGAGGTCCAAGCTCAGGGTCATTTTCTGGTTCTACTGCACTTGCATCCAGTCAGACCAATAACTGCAGAGGCAGCTGCAAGCCATGTGAGGAGAGGGCCAATGGTCTCAGAAGAAACAATGGGGTGGGGTGGTTCCTATTGTATGCTAGCCAAAGCAGTCTTCTGATTTCCTCGGTTGGCTCACAGCGTCTCTGTGGCCTACCTTTGGCCCCTCTGACTCCCAGGCCCCTTTGTGCATTCTCCCTTCACTGCAGCCTTACTGTTCAGCCCATGCCATTCCCGCGAGGAGACTCTGAGATGTCCTGGCTCCTGCCCGTAGCCTACAGGACTTGGTTCCATTCCCAGGGATTGTGTGCAGTAGCTGGGGGTCTCTGACAACCAGTGCTCCTTGTTGAATTTAGCAGCTGGTGGAAGGTGAGAAGGCCTTTCCTGAAAGGACAGCAGGAGGGTGACAGTGTTACAATGCCTTTTCTTGTACCCCTTTTTCGTGCTTAGATGGCACAATGTGATTTAAAAAAAAACCAAACTGGACTGGCATTTTTAAAAAGCTTATGAAGGTATCAGTTGAAAAATAAGTGACATAAAATAAGACCTAGCATATAAGCATCTTATTATTGTTGGAATTTACTATCAGTTCAGCCAAGGAAGCAGAATGGGGCTGAAGCAGCCAACGTGCATTTTAGAACTCCGGAGGTGACAGTGGGTTCATGTGTTGTGTCCTGTTTTTGTCTGATAGGTCATTGCTTGTGAGCAGCAGTATGACTCTTCCTATGACGCTCGCTGTGACGTCTGGTCCCTGGGGATCACGGCTATTGAACTGGGGGATGGAGACCCTCCCCTCTTTGACATGCACCCTGTGAAAACGCTCTTTAAGATTCCAAGGTAGGACGCAAGATGGCGCCCTTGATTCATTTGTGCTTTGGGAAAGCGTCCTTTGAGAGACAATAAATAGTTTCTATGTGATTTCTCTCCAAACCTGAGAAAGCATGATTGCATATATTTCCTTTTGGAAAAGAAAAAGGAGAGGGGCATTTGGGCGCAGGGAAGGATGTTCCTGAAAGATAATATACCCCAAGGAAAAATGGGACCGTATAACAATTACATAATTTCCACACTCCAGTTTTTCTGAGATGTTCATTTTTTGGTGCTTTGCATAAGAATACAAATGCAATTTAGGATTAAGTGATCTGTGTAAACACTGGTGTTTTCTTTTTGGTTATTTACTCTCACTAGTATTTGGGAAATTGAGAGGCTCAAAAATGCTTATTATATGGCTGTATTCACTCAGATCAGCACTGAAATATATCACAAAAATGTTTCATCAGTCATTTGTCTTACTCTTCATCCCTTAATTTCCTACTCAATGGGAAATCATGATGAAAGAGGTCTGTTTGAAGGGTGTTTAAATGCAAGTATATTTTCTACCCTCTGTATTCATTAGGGGTTTGTACAAGAGGTTTGGTTTATTTTCATAGGAGTGGGGCTGATGTATGACCACCTCGAGGCTCCGGTTAGGAGAAATGAAGCTTTCTGAGTCCATCAGTCCAGCCAGGGTGCTGACTGATAGATATTTACACTTTCTAAATTTCTCTTTCAAAGGAAGGCTCTGGGCAGGCTGGGAGCCATTTAACTGCTCTAACAATACAAGTATTGACCTTTCCTTATCTGCACAATCACATAGCTATTAGCGCCTTTAAAAATTTCTCCTGATTGCAATTTGCATTTCTGATTAGGTCTATTTATATGCAGATGAGGCTCTCTGGTGTTCATCATAATAATGTTATCGTTTTCTACCTAATCCAGATATGAACACCCCCAAGCTACTATTCCAAAAATGTTTCTCATCCTAGTCTGGGGTGGTTTGTTTTGCCTCTTCTAAAATGCAAAAGCAGGTCCTGGTGATTTGAGCAGACTGAGCTCTTGGCTTTTTAAATTAATAGTTTTTGGTGAGCATTCAAAAGTATGTAAGAACCCAAAGCCAATACACATTGTGTACCACACACAATGTGTAAGGAAATGAGAAATAGGATCTGGAATGATCTGTGGTGTGGTTTGATTTCCAAGCAGCACAATAGTGCACAGTTTAGGATTACAATGTGGCTTCTGATTGGCAAGAAGTATGCATAATACTTTTAATAAGAGATCATTTCTGTTGGTGTGTTTAGGTTTCGTTTTTAGTATGCATTTGTGTGCAGACCAGTTGTTTAAAATTTTCACAAGGTGATGAATGGCTAGCAGCTAAGAAAGAGCATACAGGAGTGTGTGTTTAAATAGACCCTTCAGTTCCAGTGACTCCTCTTTGCTTGCTCATGTGCCCAGCCAAGCCTCCGGTCTCTAGTTCTCTCTATTCTCTCACTCAGCTCGCCTCTTATAAAATGCAAAAGCAGGTCCTGGTGACTCAAGCAGACTAAGCACCTGGCTGTTTAAATTAATTCCATCTCGGGAGAAACCTTCAGATCTGGACATAAATAACTAGCACACGCGTGCACACACACACACACACACACACTCACACACTCATGCACGCTGCCTGCTTCAGGAAGTGTGAGACTCAGGAACAGGGCAATTGCAGTAAAACACTGCTAAAACAACTTAGCCTGAGACTGTTTCCCTCCTGTGAACCCCCCCATCCCGTTACCACTTCTCAGTCCCTTTATAAGTGGTGATCAGATGGAAGGAGGTGCTGTCAACAGTAATGGGTCAGCAGATTCTCAGTGCGATTGTATGTTCCTAACATTTGCCATTGTCACAGTCCTCCTGGGCTGCTCTGACATCGTGGACAGGAAGGAGGATATGTTGGGTTTCTGTTCCCCAAGTTACTTACTTAAAAATTATACTGTCGACGCCAGGGGTTTCGTTCAGTGGCACAAGTACCTGGCTGGCAAGTGCGAGGTCATGAGTTTGATCCCAGGTACCAAAAAAAAAAAAAAAAAAAAAAAAAAAAAATCTCCTGTCAATTAGAATTGCACAGTTTGGGTCATCTGAGTGCATATGCAGACAAATATGTGTGCAATTAGGTGTGCATGTGTGAGGGAGTGTGTATACTATTTTAATTTTGAGAGCTAAAAACGTATCCTTTTGTCAGAACAGCTCTTGATGGGGGATGGATAAACTAAGCATTCACACATTTTAAAAAGCCACCCAAATTATTTCAGTGTTTCATGGTGATCTGTCTCTTCCTAGCCCTCTCTCTTTTTCTAATAGAAAAAAGGAAATGACAGAGACAAAAATCTTTTGAGTCACTTGGCCTAAGAATTATGTCTTTTCTATTTGAATGTAACTACTGTGTTTTAGAATTCTTTTCAAATAACAGGGAAAGTCCCTTTCGAGGCATGCTGGGTGCCAGAATGCCATGACTTCTTCCTCTGAGTTTCCTCACTGGCTGCCTCCCTGGAACCTTTTGCTTACTGGAAATATATGGACTACTAACTGTGAGAAGAAAAGAAAATCTTGACAAAGCCAGGGAAGAAGTAGCTTTCACAAGTTGCAGAGCACTTGAGAGTTAATGAAGTGCTGGGCACCTGTGAGGTGAGGGCTTCAGATGTCAACAAAAGTGGCAATGACACAGGCTCCCTGGACACTGCGGGAAGATAAGACCAAGGCTGCCTGTGGCTGCTCGGTCTGCAGGCTCCTGGCTCTCCCCTCTCTACTCCCTGCCCACCTTCTCCTTTCTCTTGACCTTCACATCGGAAGATGACACACCGAGTACTCGTGACCTGTCTTTGAAATATTGTAGGACTTGAAATCTTTCCTGTACTTAAACACACAGAAATTATCTCCTGATTGGCAGAGCATTTGCAATTTGCTGAAGCTGACAGCATGTGTCATCTTGTCTAACGCCTTTGCTCCAAAAAAGTCACCCTTTTTAGCTACCGCGGCACTGTCTGCTGCTATTTTTCTCCAGTATTTAGAAGACAGGAGAGTGAAAAGCGTTTCTCTAAATATCAGTACATTCAACTCTTTCATGACTCTTTCCCAAGGACTCTGTCAAGGACAAATTTTGGAGGCTAAGTGAGATCTTGCAGATAACCTGGGCATTTTTTCCCCCTTAAAAAGAGATCCGTTTCATAGATAAAACTGCAAGAACCAGTAGAGTTAAGAGAAATACACAATTTCTTTCACTTTGGGTCTTTGATCAGTTCTCCGTCAGTCTCCACAGAGGGGCTCAGAAGTAGATGGGACCCTTGTTAGTGTCTGCAGGACAATCAGTGAGAACCACTGTCTGCGCCCTTTCATCCAAGGCCAGGTACCAGCTGACTTTGCCCAGAGTCTCCTGGCAAGCTGAATGCTTCCACTTTGTTTCTTGTGGGAAAATGCAGGCTATTTTCAAAATCCCCAGCAGAAAAGCTTCTGGCTGAAGCAGCTGAGTCCAACTGGCCTGAATATTCCAGTCCCAAAGCCTGTAATTACCCCTTCCTAGGAGAACTTTCCCTGCAGTTTTATTCAATTTAAGAAAAGAAGAACATGTGATAATTATCCCTTGATATTTCAGCTTGTTTCCCTTTCTTAATTGAGGTTGCTCCAGAGTCATCTGTCCTTAACCATGTGAGCTTCCTGGGGCTGCCACAACACATGATGGCACAAACTGAGTACTTATCACAAGGGACATCTACTCTCTTGCAGTTCTGAAGGCCTAAAAGCATGACTCCGCAGGGCTTTTCTTCCACTTGAGCCCTCTAGGGTAGTATCCTTCCCTGGCCTGGACAGTGTCTGGTGGTCTTTGTTGTTCCTGGGCTGGTGGCACCATGACTTCAGTCTCTGGATCCATCATTATGGCCATCTTTCCTGTGTCTCTGGGTCTTTCATCCTGTCTCTTTTAAGAGCATTGGATTTGGGGACTATCCTAATCCAGGATGAGTTCATCTCCAGGACCTCGCCTTAAATAATTATATCAGCAAAGACCCTTATTCCAGATGAGGTCAACTCTCAGGTTCTGCATAGAGGTGTCTTTTGGGAGCCACAGGTCAACTCACTACATCTAACTGAATTTCATGTCTACCAGACTCCCTACCAAACTAATTTGAGGCCAACATATGAGACAAGTAGCTCAACAATGAAGGGCAAAACAACAATAGCTAGGATCTTTCAGGTGCTAGCTATGTGGCAGGCACGGTGCCTGTGTTTCATTGATGTGGGTTTAGTCTCTGCTGCGATGGCAGGAGCTATGCAGGTGACATCGTCAGCCCTTTTTCCAGATGAGAGACCCAAAAGCCCACCAAGGCTCAACAATCAACACTTGGTGCTGCTCTTGCAGAGAAAGAACTATTTGAATCTGAGACGTTTGAGTCCTAAGGCCACAAGCTTTGCTGCTACACTGAAAAGTGAAAGGCCTTCCTTAGATTGTATCAAACAGTTGGCGAATTATGGGCCGACCACCAAAGGGATGAAGTACACAAAAATGAATAGAACGTAGTCTGATGTTTTGGAAGCTCTCAAACCAGGATCCTTCCTGGCTCCTAATTTTAAACTAACATTTTCAACTTGAAATTTAGAATTTTTATTAGCATCAGTGTTCTGTTAAAGAAATGATGAGTGGACATTAAATGTTATTATAGGTGATTACGGGAATAGCTTTCGTCATTCATGACCCCGAACACAGAACTTCTCTTTGCCAACCTCTGCTTCAAGCAGCTGCCTTGTATTTCCTATGTTGGAACACTTACGACGAGTGTTGCATAAAGATTTATGCAGTGTACAAGCTGTGCCATACTTTGGGACAGCATTTGGGTACGCATGTTACTCTCCTTGGTATTCTGCATCTGCTAGGCCAGGCCTGTTTCTGAGTTAGTCAGCACCTTCTTCCCCATTACCTTTTTTTGCTCTTACCTTTTTTAGTAGAGAAACTTTCTCTGGTTTCTGGGGGAAGTGCATGTCTGTGTCTG